TCTGTTTGTCTGTTTTTATATGAATGCATCACGTCTAAAGTAAACATCTTTTTTTTTCAAAGAAATCGTTAAGAAAATCATAAAGCGTATCTTCAAGTTACATTTAATCTTTGTTTTATTAAAATTGGTTAATTCTATCGAAAGTAATGATTATTATTTTAAAATGTAGGTTCGAATTTGTTCAATGGCGCCATAAAAATCTCAGAAATAGTAATAAAAAGATTTGTGTGTAAAAAAAACGTTCCATAATAATTAATATATTTATACTTAAAACATAAGAGATTTAAAAAAGGATGTTTTCTCACACAAAGGACATAATAGATGGAGTTGTACAAATTACAAACTTTTCTGATTTGCTGTGTTGAGATTTTTCGCCGATGAATCGTATTGAGACTTACTGAAGAAATTTGTATCTATCGAAGCCATACAACGGAACCCGAACAAAAATAACAAAATTGCAACAAAATGTCGTGATATTTTATTTATAATATACGCAAAATCAGTACTGCTATTTTAGCGCTTTGGGAACTAGATTTAGCGCTTTTTTGGAATGTATAGCGCGCATTTCGAAATTTTAGCACCTAGCACTTAATCCAGCGCTTTTTGGTGTATTTAGCACACATTTCAAAATTGTAGCGACTAGCGGGTTATTAACTCTTTTATAGCAGCACTGTTAGTCCATTTACCGATAATAATAATAATGACCTTTATTATTTTTTTCCACAAATAGTACATTGCAGTTAATCTTTTTCAAACATATTTTTTCCACAAAACAAAGAGCATGGGAGACGAGTCCAAACTAGGATACCCTGTGCTATGGATCTACCGGCTTCCCCTTTAGGATGATCAACTTGATTTTTTTTATCGACAACTATAAGCGGGGAAATCCTCTTCATTAAAGTTTTCGTTCATGGTTTTGGCAACGCATTTATTTTGCTTTATTCAGTTTTAGTCAGTTGTTAAGAGCACAGCTAAGTTAAAAGTTACTTAGAGTAGTACTAACTACTGTTGACAGCAATTGCCATAATTATAAGTCGATGTCCTGCGAAGTATTGATACATCAAAAAATATTGCCAGAAAAAAACTTAATGTTGTTTTCTTTATTATGATTATTATGATTTCTTTAGTATTTTCTTGAATTATAAATTATAATAAAAAACACAAACTTTGTTTGTAGTTAATTTAGCGCGAAATCTAGGGCTTTTTTAAAGCGCTGTTTTCATGAAATCTAGCGCTTTTTGTGTTGTCCTAGCGCTGAATGAGTTTTATTGATCTGGCAGCACTGCCAAAAAACCCTCTATTAAGAAGTAACTTTCCTTTCAGTTTTAAGCGCGTTCAGTTCCCAGTTACAGTCAGCGTGTCTTATGCGATGACCGTAAATAAAGCGCAAGGTCAAAATTTACGCGTTGTAAGAGTGGACCTCAGTACTGACTGTTTTGCACATGGCCAACTCTATGTTGCTTTTTCCCGCGTTAGTAGCCCCCGTAACCTTTTTGTGTACACCCCGTCTAAGTCTACTTCTAACGTCGTGTACACCGAAGCTCTATCATAAACTACTTAGAACTTTGATGATAATGATTTATTTGTTACCACTTATTGATACAGTAATGATATAAATCGTTTAATATTCTCTTACCTAAACGACAAATTCTTTATGTAAAATCTATATACGCGAGCTACGCCGCGGGCACAGCTAGTATTTAATAATTATTAACAAACCTATAAAAAGCTATTAGCTATAATTTGCATAACGTATGCGTTTTGAATTATTTAATATAGATCCAGAAATGCATTTAGGCGACTGGATCTTCACGGTCACACTGAGGTCACTCGTCAGCCGCGCGGACTATTCATGCACCCCACTTGTCTTCGCGCGAATTAGATGACACATTACACATTCTAGGCTCTTTTGAATTTCCCCTGGCTGTTCTTACGAGCTTCCAGAACATTTTAATGTTTGCCTGGAAGTTATCAGATATCTTTATATCATTCTTATCTATCCTTTCTTGCTTTTTCCTTTCAACAACTTCTTTTACTCTCTTATTTATACGTCTAAAGTCTGCCTTTTTTCTTTCAATCTCATCATTCATACCGCCAGAATTACCAGCTTTAGTTGCTAGTAAATCTAGCCATGCTCTCTTCTTTGCTTCAACTTCCATCCGTACCTCATCATCCCACCACAACGTATTACTTTTCCTTTCATTCGTTCTCTTACTTACACCACATACTTCGGTGGCTGCATCCACCAAAACTTTCTTAATATTATTCCATACATTCTTCAAGTCTAAATCATTCATACATAATTCATTCAACCCACTTATATTTTCCCTCAGTCTGTATTTATACTTCTCCTTCACATCTTCATCTTGTAACCTCTCTATTCTTATACGCTGTAACGCAGTGGTAGACACAAATGTCCGATGCCGCCAACGTTTGAATATACCATTAATTCGGCATAAGACCAAGTAATGATCCGTCCCTACGTTGGAGACCCGGTAAACCCTTGTATCTACCACTGCGCTCCTCATTCTTTCATCCACAATTATGAAATCTATCATGCTTCTATCATCCCCTCTTTCCCATGTATACATGTGAATCCTCTTATGGCGAAAGAAAGTGTTCGCCACAAAAATATTATTTTCCACACATACGGTGAGGAGGTCTTCACCATTGTCATTTATTCTTTCATCGACAAACGTTCCTAATATCCTCTCATAACCAGACCTCTTCACCCCAACCCTTCCATTAAAATCTCCTAACATAATAATGTTTTCATTTTCCTTACATTTCATCAACACCAGACTTACCATGTCCCAAAACTGCTCTCGGATATAAGTGGGCTTAGACATATCTGGGGCGTACACCCCTAGCACAAACAACTTCTTTAAGCCCACTTTCATTCGTATACATAGCAGCCTTGGGCTTACACATTCATTCTCTTGCACACATTGACCCATTTTTTCTGAAAGGATGACACCGACTCCCTGGCATGCCCACTCAGTCTCGTCCACTCCAGACCAGTAAGCGGTATATATGCCATGTGCAGTGACATCTCTTCCCTTTCGTTTCGTCTCGTTTACACATAATACATCTATTCCTCTATCATTCATCATTTCGCATACTTCATCCATCTTATCATTCATTGCTCCACATACATTCAGCGTAGCCAGACGGGCCTCCGCAATCCACTTTTCGCCCCTCCGGGAGACAGGACGTGACGGGTGGCAAGCCTCGTCGCCGGTTTTCCTCCCGGAGATTCTTCGCACCCCTGCCCCATTAAAGGGGCGCCGGGAACTCGGGGCCATTTCTTTTTCTTCTTGGCTCATGGTGCGAACTAAGGGGTGGTAGATTTTACGCCGCTACCATACGGCGAGGAGCCGAGTCTATCCTATCGGCTTTGTCGCTCGTTTAGCACCACCCGGGGGACACGTGTTGGGTGGGCCTAGGATTAGGTGGTCGAGGCCCATGGACGCGAGCGACTCATCGCCCAACCAATGTAACCAATAAAAGAAACTTTTTTTAATGTACAAAAAATTTGCATGTTTTCTGGATAAACAGCCACAGAATAAATAATAGTACTACGTAATACAGCCTTGTCTGCTGGCATTGCGCCCTATCTGTTGATGAGTTTTATCACAGGTATATATGTCTATATATGTAGGTATATATATGAAATTATTATTATTTTCAATTTTCTTGCAAGACATTAATATAATTGCAACAATGCTACGAATCTATAAACTAGGGTTGCCGCTAACTCATTTTTAAGAATAACCATTATCATAGACCAGTTTCAAGATTGTCCAGTTAATAACGCCAAATTAGAAACTCGTACTATTAACTCTTACTCGTGTCATTAAGATAAGAAAGACACAAATTTGATGAATTTTTCCTTCTTAGTTACTTAACTGCTTTCATTACAACTGCTATGTAAGTGTCGTGAGGAAAAAAGAGCCTACATTATGAAAATAGTGTTTCTATGTCAGTAACGTAGACTGTTGGACTATTTTGAATAAAAACAAAGAAAACTTTAAATGCTAATAAATAACAATCGTAATGCAGTGTTAAATAAGAAGGTAAGAATCTGTTATACTTACGAATCCAGTTGAACGTCTGAAAATAAAATATCTTAGATGTACTCCACCAGAGGACTAAACATCTCCGCAGGACAGGATTATAGTGCACGAGTGTGTGTGCAGTGTATGTGTGCGTGTGTGTGTGTGTTGATTTTGAACTGATTTTGGCCCAACCCAGGATTCAAAACCGAGGCCAGACGATCAGCTGTCATACTCGACCAACGAGGCAGCCAAGGAATGGATGAGCAAACAAAATTTTAAATAAGTTTGGTAATTTCTATAAATATCTATATTTAATTACATAAATCTCAATACAAACTTAATGCTACTATTTGTTTCGTATAGTGAGTGTAGAGAACCACAGAGGCCCTATTTACTGGAAGCATTCTATGTTAGTCCTCGGCGGTGACAACGCATCTGCATTTTGATTCTTAATCGAGGACATTGTGTTTGTGGGTCGTAACATCCACATACCACTAGCTGGACGAAGTGGTGGACGGTGATGAAGAACGGTGGTGTAGAAACACGAGTAAAATTGTTGTGTCTTCGAATACAAATTAGTTTGAATCCATTACTCTCCAGGTAGATTTACTCATTATTAAGATTTTTAAGTACAGTTTCGCGAAATTCATTGTAAGTAATATAGGTAATTCCGCAATGTAATAACAAGACAGCAGCTGTAAAACGTTATGTGGACAACTGCAAAAACTTTTAAGGCATTCTGAAACTTCTTTCCCTTCTAGAATTTTCGCAAAAAATGTCAAGCCTATCTTCCGCAAGAGCTTTAACGATGATGTCGATGGTGCTTTGAATTATTTTTCTTAATATATTTACGATAACATAACATCAATTAATTTTTAACGTTGATTCTGCGTGAAATTTAATTTCTCTTTTCATTGTATAGGTGTGCTGGCTTAAATGACCATGGATAAAATGAAGTCAAAATTTCTTTCTTCTGTTCTTCAAATAATTATTAGCATAATGATAATTCCTTCAATCCATGCAAAAATTGTAAATACGACCACTGGACCTGTAAGAGGATCACTAAACCAATGGGAAAACTTGTTATATTATTCTTATTTGGGTATTCCATATGCTGAAAGTCCTACTGGTGCATTACGCTTCATGGTAATTAAATCTTCAAAATTTCTTACGCATTACGAAAAATCGTTTTAGACTTATACTTAGCCAGTATTAAGTATAATTGATACTGATAATAAATAAGTTATACATGAAATATTACAAATGCATTTATTATTATCCTGTTATTATAACCATGACAAATCTATTGACCATTATCATCATCACCATAGCCCTTCATAAATCCACTGCTGAACATATACCTTACACAAGGAAAACCACAAAACAGAGTTCTAAACCTGCATTTATCGACTTCCTGCATGTCTTACTAGGTCGTCACTCAGCTTATGGTGGCCATTCCACTCCGCTAACCCGTATGCAGCTGTTTGCCATAAAAATCTTTAAATTCTGACATTCTTAGTCTGTACTCTAATTTACCAATAAGAAGAACATAGAAAACACGTGATTTTTACTATGTATAATTTAACAGTGATTTTAACAAATTTTTTCAACTTCTCAAAACAATGATTCGATTTGGTACATCTTCATTAGTATCATGTACCGGTAACGGATGTGTTTATATATTCATTTTAAGATTTTAAGGAGATACAAATATTGACAAAACTGAAACGTGTTCCTTCAGACAGAGTTCATACAGAAAACTATTTTTAGTGGCATTTCTTAATGGGTATGATTTCAGCCTCCAGTACCGAAAAAGTCATGGAAGCAAATTCTTGACGCAACGCGTGAAGGACCTGTATGTCCACAAATAAAAGAAAGGTATCCAAGAAAACAAATGAAAGAAGATTGTCTGTTCTTAAACATTTATGTACCTGCACACATGACGCAAAAAGAACTGCCAGTATTTATATTTATACATGGCGGAGTATTTCATTTACTATCAGGAAACAGCGACCTCTTGTACGGACCACAAATGTTTCTACAACACGGACTAATTTTTATAACGATGAACTACAGGTTATTGATGAAACAATAGTTTATATAAAAAGTTACAATATATATGAAAGAATTATATTTATGTTGATCATTATATATATGTCAAATTTTTTTCAGATTAGGAGCGTTGGGATTTCTATCACTTGATATTGAAGAAGCGTCGGGTAACGCAGCATTAAAAGACGTAATACTCGCCCTGAAGTGGATTAACGACAATATTGAAATATTTGGAGGAGACCGAAATAAAGTAACAATCGGCGGACATAGTTCTGGGGCAACAATTGCTCACTACCTTTTATTTACTGAACAAACCAGTAATCTTTTTCAACGAGCTATACTAATTAGTGGTAACGCTGTTTGTCATAGATCTATTGCCAGACATGCAAAAGATAATGCTCTCACTTTTGCTAAACAATTAGGTTTGTCGTCAAATGATCCACATGAACTTTTAATAAGACTTAAGGAAATGGATGTGTTTAACATTTTAGATGCCGAAGCAAACTTAACTAAATATGATAACGTTATTTTAAGACCATTTACAATGTTTGTACCAAATATCGAAATAGAATCTCCACATGCATTGATAACTACAGATCCCACGAAATTATTACAGTTGGGGTTGAAACAAAATATACCTATTTTAGCTGGTTTTAACGAAAAAGAAGGAGCTTACGTAATTCCTAAAATTGAAAGAAGTCACGATGAATTGGAAAGATTAAGGGAAAATATGGAATATGCTATACCATCTGATATAGAGTATCCACTCGGGTCCGAAATTTCTAAGGACTTAGCCAAAGCAATAAGTCAATATTACTCTATTAACGATTCATCCAACTTTACACTAAATAACCTTGTCGACTTATCCTCTGATTCTCAATATATTTATAGCATCGATTCATGGATTAAGAGGTATAAAGGAATGAATAATAGCAGTTCGGTATATTATTATATGTTCAACTTTGATGGTGATTTAAATTGGGCAAAAATAAATTACAAGATTAATTTTCCGGGCACTGCCCATGCAGATGAATTAGGTTACATTTTTATTACGAAAAAAACCAAACCTTTGTTACATGGCGCTGATTTTAACAGTCGTTTAGTGATGAATATAATGACAACGATATTTTCGAATTTCATAAAATTGGGGTAAGTTTTTTTTTCAATATTACATTTGATTTAATCAAAATTTAACACCTACACACATATAATAACTTTGTTACAGAGTATTCTTTCAAAACGAACTCAACATTTATAGGAATAAAATCTTAATTTAAGTTTAATTCCGTTTTCAACATACGATACGCTACATAAAAATCCACTGGGTGGTAAGACTCCTTTTCTTCTTAGGCTATGTGTCCCTCTGGGCAGGCTCTGTCTACATATTTTTATCAGTGCTTGCACTATTGTGTTTTGGTCTAAAGGATATGAAGACTTAAGTCAGTATAATTACAGGTTGTGAGGCATCACATCTTAGTCCTCAGAGGTGACAACGCATCTGTAGCCTTCTTTGTTTGAAGTTAGTTGTAGGTGCAGCCACTTACCATCAGGTGAACTTTAAGTTTCTCAGTTCAGTTTTATAAAAAAAAATCCACAAAACATTAGAAGTTGGCTTGTCAAACCCACTAAGAGTAGCCAATTCGGGCCGGCTCTGCACCTCGGGTCAGCTTTGTGGGTTCCCCTGTTCACCGTGGGTGAACAAGCCACAGGTAGGTACTAAGCCTCCCGCTATGACAAGGTGGGAAATCTACGCAGCTGCGCACGTCTCAACTCGCCAAAGTTTCATTTTAATCGTGTGAATAGTATAAGAATGAATGCAGGACAAATATAGATACATTATTTTTATATACATATGTACATTGGAATTTGATAATCAATTTGTGATGAAAAGCTTCTTGGCTGCTAACCAGAAGATTTTCTGTGCTTTTGTGAATCTTGAGAAAGCATTTGATAAGGTTGTAAGGAAGAAAATGTGGGAACTGTTGCCGGGGTATGGTGTGGATGGTCGATTGCTAAGGGCTGTGCAGTCTCTTTACCGTGACTGTAAAGCCTGTGTGCGGGTAGGGCATGACCTGTCACCCATGTTTAGCGTCCAAACGGGCGTAAAACAGGGTTGTGTCATGTCTTCCTGGCTGTTCATACTGTATCTCGACAGCTATTTACAGAAGCTGAAAGATAGCTGTTTGGGTGTGAAATTGGGTGACATAAAAGTAAATTGTCTGCTGTATGCTGATGATGCAGTGCTTATTGCACCATCAGAGGCAGAACTGCAGACATTAGTCACGTGTATGAAAGAGGAATGTGAAATTAAAGGTCTTCGTTTGAACGCTAATAAAACTAAGGTTCTGGTATTTGAAAGGGACGAAGAGAGAACGAAGTGTGAAATATGGGTAAATCAGGAATGTCTAGAACAAGTAAATGAAATTGTATACTTGGGGAGTGCTTTTAGCCGGGATGGAAGATGTGATTTAGATGTGGACAGGCGTGTCGCTGCCGGGAACAAAGTAAGTGGTGCCCTGACTGCGTTAGTCAAAAGGCAAGGCGTAGTGAAGAGTGCACGCCTTGCAATACATAACGCAGTGTTGGTACCGACTTTGTTATATGGCAGCGAAACCTGGGTATGCCAGAAGAAGCATAAAAGCAATTTGAATGCAGTGGAGATGCGATCTCTTCGTAAAATGTGCGGCGTTACCATGGCCGACCGAAAGCGAAACGAAGAGATTCGCAATATGGCAGGTTTGAAAGATGACCTTATCACAAAAATTGATAAGGGCGTGCTTCGGTGGTTTGGGCACGTTGAGCGAATGAGTGAAGACCGAATGGTGAAGAAAATATATAGCGCGAAAGTTAATATTAAAAGGTGTCGAGGTAGACCGAGACTAACTTTCGAAGACCATGTGAGCAAATTGCTCGAAGAGGGGAGGGTCAAGAGTACTCGGATACCTAGACGTGCATGTATGAAGAAGATAATGAATCTGAAAGAAGCGAAAGAGGTATGTAAGGATCGTGACACTTGGCGATCTGTTCTGTCTGGCTACCCCGTCAGGGATTGTGCGTGAAGATAAGTAAGTAAGTACTACCTTGAGGAAAAGAAGGGTTATCAGTTCTAATGTCCGATCAAATATTTAAATATCTCTTGTTTCAGAATAAATCTGTCCTGATATAGGATATCGGGCGGCATGTGACATATTTGAAGAATAGGTTTTTAATGGCCGATACACACGGTCAGTTAAGCTGATCAGTTGAACAGACGTACATCCAAAAACTGACAGTGAGTGTGAAATCTTAAGTTGAAATTTTTAACTAACGGCAACCTATGGGTTTTTCCGGGCGCACCGTAATCCGCTGGCTTAAGTAAGCAGGGCTCCGTCACTCACTCAAGGTCTCACGTTATATTAGGGGGCGTTCAAGTATTACATAACGCAATATTTGAAGATTTTTTACTTTTGAAGTGTCTGTTTGTCATGTCAAAGTAACAGCTTTTTACTAAATGTATATGAAAATATTTTTTTATAGGATAAGGGTGACAAACGAGCACACAGTCCACCTGATGGTAAGTGGTTGCTGCGGCCCATAGACATCTACATCTATCCTCTATTACAAATCAAAATGTAGATGCGTTGTCACACGTGAGGACAGTAGAAAGGGCCTCCAGCCACCTGCACTCACCAAGCGAAACGCAGAGGTAAACCTCTACTTCACGCTGGTTTTCTGTGAGGTCGTGGTACGACCTCGGTTTGAGCCGTCCCATCCGTGCGACAGCAAAAGCTGCCGCGTGGCTCTACCACTGTTGTATACCGTACTTATAACACAAATACAATTATTACAATTTTTGTCTGCCTGTCTGTCTTATTTTCTGTCTGTCTGTTTCTTCCGTCTAATCTCCGAAACGGCTGGACCGATTTCGACGGGACTTTCATTGGCAGATAGCTGATGTTATAAGGAGTAACTTAGGCTACTTATATTTTAGAAAAAGAATTAGGTTTCAGCTCAACATAATTAAAACCCTAAATTACACGCGGGCGAAGTCGCGAGGAACAGCTAGTAATAAATAAAACAGGAGATTTCTAACTCTTAATACATGCGTAGGCACATTGTTTATTTATTTATTCATATTGTTATTAAATAAAAAATCACATAATGTAACAAACGTTTGCTTAAGTTTGAAATATGTTAAAATAGGCTTAAATTTGTCCTAATAAACATTTACTACTAATCTCAATATGAGATCAGCCAAGTCAGGAAAACAGCGTAATAAAATATCATTACGCCGTTTTCCTGACTTGGCCCTGTCCTTACATACATTTTTGACTTCTTCCATCATTGTTCTTCTCTATCTTCTCATCTTTCTATTTTTTGGCACAGTTACGCTGGCAAGTCAGCATGAGAGCCTTTAAGGCTGATGACTGATGATGCAAATATCCCTCTTTTGAGGACATTACAGTATGAACTCATTTTAACAACACTGACTACAATAATGTGCTTCTGTGTAAACACTAACGAATACTAACATTGAAAACAAAATAAAAATGACGTAAAATACAGTCGCGGGATTCCCCCGTAAAACATACGCGAAAAGGGTTGCCAATGTGGGAGATCTATCTTTCTAGTTTTTTACATAAATAAAAAAAAGTTACGTAACGCCTTGTTCGAACCCCCTCCCGCCCCTGTAACGCATCGTTACGTTTTACAAGACCCCCCACCCCTTCCCCCAAATTACGTTACGTAATACTTGAATGCCCCCTTACTCCCGGCTAGCGTATTCCGGGTGTACAAGTATCAGTGGGGTATCGCACGCTCTAAAGATGGGTAATTTAATTTTTAATAATTAAAATAATCAGTTTAAGATATATAGTATTAAAATCTCATTTAAAAATCACATTAAATAAAATTATCATAATATCTGATCCAATTATTTAAATTGTCTTAATACTTTGATTGAAAATATCTTATAAAATGTTGATATTATTTTTTATTTAAATAGATATATCTAAAAGTATATATTTAACTCATAGTAGTCACTTATTTAGAGCCAGCTTAATCTGTGACACTTCTAAATTAAAAATTAAAATTAGTCCCCCCCCCCCCCAAGGTGCGGAGAAAACCCAAAAAAATAAAGAAACGAAGGCCAGTTTGAAGCCAGTGTGTTAGGAAATCGTATTGGCTTACATCCGTTTTTACTGATCAGTTTAACTGGCCGTGTGTGTCGAGCTGTCTTCATGCCTTATCTTCCTTTTTATGTAGTATGGTCATCTGTCGGTAGATGGCGCCGAAGTAACAAATATTAATTGCGGAACCAAATATTCAAGGTCACCGGGCAATGTAATAAACTGATCAGTTCAACTGACTGTATGTGTCGAACTTTTTGGCTTACATCCGTTTGAAGTGATCAGTTTAACTGACCGTGTGTGTCGCCCATTACAGATCCATTACTGTCGCGATATGTCCGTTAGATAACTCGGACAGATGAATAATATAGTATACAGGTTCTATCTGTTGCCTCTGACGTCCACGGGATGATAAATGGTAGTAGATTCTCTAAAGCTGCCACTACACAACGATTTGCATAATAAAATCTAAACATTTGATTTATTAATTTTTTCAGCGATCCTACTCCAAAAAACTTTGCCGGCAAGTTTAAATGGCCCGAGTACGGAAAAAATGGATCGTTACTCATTATAAACGAAAATCCGAGTGAAGGCACCCTTTCATCTCCGCTTTTAGAAAGAATTAACTTCTGGTACGATGTCTACGACAAATATTATCATTATGTCGAAAATGGTGGAAAACTGGAGAAAAAATGCATACCTTAATTATAAATGTTTACTTTCATGTTTGTATTGACGGTATTATTTTATAATTAAAGTAAATAAAATTATACCTATATTAATATATTTTAATTGTACTTTTACCTACCTGTACTTTCTTTAAAGCAATATTCATGATGGGTTTTATTATATTATTATAGTTTTATAATAACTTAATTATTTACACTTATTACATGTCACACATACATGTACACCGTCCGTGTATAAAGTATCACCGGTGCTTTCTGAAAGGTTTTCTGAAAGAAGCCATTTTTAGTGTGACAAGACCGTCTGTTGATCATTTATATGATATTGTACTGCAGATTCCTAAAGAGGTTCCGTGAGAAAGCCATCATTCCGTGAAATAACTTACTTTTGCTTGTTAAATAATTTTACACTTAGGTACAAATATTTTTCGAATTGGTGCATAATAAGTGATGAGAAAAACCCATTACTGTTATATGATACGTAGGTAGTTAGCGAGAAATATAACTAGCTATCCGCCACCGTCACCGCTTTGCACGGTGATGTTAATGTGATTCCAAACCATCTAGGGACTCACTCAAACACACACAATTTCATCAAAATACGTCGATCCGTTTTTGAATTTTAGGGAGGCTAACGGACAGCAATTGATTTTTATACATACAGATATGTATTTGAATTGCCCTGTCTATGATATGTAATTATATGATTTGGGGTTCCTTAAAATAAATGGGATTTGAGTGCTGCATTACCTAAAAAAAACCCTCTGAACTTCTGTTGTACTGTACACTGTTCTGCTTTCATTCTGTACTTAGTGAATACTAAAAAAATAAATTTATGAAATAAAATCAATTAAGGGATTGATCCTTGTAACTTAAATTTCAGTAAGAAAGGAAAAAATATTTATTTGATTACATTTATTTAAATTCAAGACAATACATACAATAAATAATCAAGACGTTGATAGCGAGCTAATATCGATCTGTTCTCTGGCAAGTTGGAATGAGGCAATGAGTGCTGCCAGTTCAATTCGTTCGCTGCAACCACTAGCAAGTCTTGCTTCCGAGTCGGCCATTTTGATAAGCAGCGACACTAAAACCTCTGGCGGGAATTTCACTGAAATTAAAGTATAACTATTAAAACCATACCTTGATTTATAAATGCTATGTACACAAACCTCTTGAACTGAAATGGTAGATCGTAACCAAGTGAAGATAATTTAAAAGATAATTAACGAATTCAAGCACGAAATTAATAAACAAATGAATTAGTCGCAACTGGCATTAGAGTATTTTAAACAAGTAGAGGCGAGATTTGCGCATTTCATGCTAACGAAATCTAGATATTCAGCGCATACTACTGTGAAAAATACTATCCCACAAAAACATTAATAAGAAAAAGGCTCCAAGTTCGGTATAAACGACGGTATATAGGAGTTGAAATGTGAATGTGTACCAAGTTCCATTACAGTTCCGTGGGTATCGTAAGAGGGGACAGAGAAAAATAAAACACGAGATCGACAGCAGCATCTTCTTGATAAAAACTCAAAATAACAAAAAAATACGGTTGCCAACTCCCCTGCCAACCATATCTACTATGGCAAATTACCCTTCTCCACCTATGAGGGTGTCCCAATGTACGGTAGAGGCCTATGTTCAGCTCTGGACTTTTAATTGACTGTAATTAATGAAAAATAAATGAATATTATCTATCACAGAAAAAAGCCAATGATGTTTAGTTTGAAAAACAAAAATTGAAAGCAAAACAACTTTAAAATACAATAAAACCAGGACTAGCTTATTTTGACGCTTGTGAAAAAGACATGTGGAAGTTGACACTACTAAGGATTTAAAGTTGTAGGTAAAATTAACTTATTCCATAACAATAATAATTACATCAATATAATATGCCATTTACCTCTTTGAATTTTTGTATGAATCTCTGTTAAAATGTCCCCAAGGGCCAAACCTTTTAAAATTTTTAAATCTTGTATATCTGTAAATATATATTGTAAGAAAATTGACATCACCAATGTAAACAAATTAAAAGAAGTTGTACAAATTAAACGATTATTTTCTTGCTCAAAGATGAGTAAAGAATCTTTTAAGGTTAAGGCTAAGTATTCAGCGAGGAAACGCAGCCAGCGTAAATATAACAGAACTAGCTGTTCCCCACGACTTCGTACGTCTTGAATTTATTACCTACTTTAAGGTTGACTGTATGACAATTTAATTTTTTAGTTTTAATTTTTTCTTTACTATTATTGTATTTTTTTAATATTATGTGTAACCTTTTAGTTAGATTTAATTTTATACTATGTTTTAACAATATTAATTAAAAATTATTTTTTTGAAATATTAATTTAAATCAATATTTTAAATTAATATTACGTTTTTAAGCAACAGATGAGAGTAACAATTCATTTGATGATAAGTGGATATTGGGGCCATAGACACCTTCATCTACCCTCGATTCAGAATCGAAATGCAATTGAGTTGTCACCCCTAAGCACTAGGATGGAATGCCTTGTAGCCGTAATAATGCCGTACATAAATTTAAAAAGCAATATATTATGCAATATGCCCAGCTCTGTCGGTTTTTTAACCTTTATCAAATGCGTATAAAGCTCAATCATTCACTTCTACACATTGGCGGCATCATTAATTGATATTACATATATCATATCATCATATGCAGATATACAGGATTATTTTTCAAAGAGTAGCCAACTTTTAAACTTAAGTTCATATATATAAATAATGATATACTGTTAATGCAGTTTTTGAAAATACGAGTACATAAGGCTTCTACTTTTATTTGAAACCATCACAAATTAAATGTGATTTATGGGCAACGTTTTTGCCTACCGATCTACTCTTACAAATGTGTGTGTGCGCAGTAAAATATTGTTAAAATAATGCATTATCACGCATTTTCAATGTAAAATATAATAAGAACAAAATGTTTGACATTTTTTTTTTTACTACTTTTTCTTCATCATTTGCCTATATTGCTTCTTCTGAACCTTCGCTGCAAATTTGGCAAGGTATTTGAAAAATAATCTTATATTGTTGTGCCCTACCCTGCTAACCCCACCCGCGTATTTAGCCCTATCGAGTTTCTGCAAAGTAAAATCGGACTTTTGAATAATAAACAAAAAATCCATATCTAAATAACTTTTACTATTAATCTACTCGTATTGCAGTGGCTACTGCAATAACACTACTTATGTGCTAAAAGTTAAAATGTGAATTAAGATTCAAAAAATAATAGAATAGAATAGAATAATTTTTTATTCAATATCGATTATTACATAATTCTTATTGAAAGTAATTTTTTATCTACCACTGGTTCGGAAAATACCTCTATCCTGGGAAGAACCAGCAAGAAACCCAGCGGGACTTTTTTTTTGAAACATAATTTCGTTTTTTTTAAATAATTTTTCATAGAACCAGCATGGTGGCGATCACCTTATTCCCAGGGGTTATTTTCATTCATGTATTCCTTGATATTATAATAACCCTTTTTGTACAGTTTTTCTTTAATAAAACTTTTAAACTTGTTTATTGACAAACTTTGAATATGTTCTAGGATTTTGTTGTAAAAGCGTATACATTGCCCCATAAATGAATTACAGATTCTGTGGAGTCTAGTAACTGGTATTACAAGCTTATGTTTGTTCCTAGTGTTTAAAGTATGCACATCCTTATTCTTATTAAAGCTATTTATGTTTTTATGTACATACATTACATTTTCATAAATATATTGCGATGCCAAAGTTAATATGTTTATTTCTTTAGATTTTAGTCTGAGGGACTCTTTACAATTTAGGTTTTAAATCGCCCGAACGGCTCTCTTTTGCAAAACAAATATAGCTTCAATATCAGTCGCATTACCCCATAGCAAAATTCCATAAGACATTACGCTATGAAAGTAACTAAAATAAACTAATCTAGCTGTTCGCGCCACTCGCTCTCTCTCATTCAATGATTCGGCGCGAGCGCGGTATCGCGTCAGTCGCAACCCCGGAAGGGAGTCACGCGCCGCCCTCGTTTGAGAAAAGGTGTAAGAAAGCGCGTCCGCGACCTTCAGCTCATCGGCTCGCATTAATTATGTATATATTGCCGGCCGGTATCTAATATATCTAAGTGACAATCATTACGAACAATTAAACATTAAAGTGAAAGTGACAGTGTATGATATAAGACTTTAGTTGCACGTGTATACATTCAACGGCATAACCAGCTCAGGAGCGTGCCAGCCACCCAGCACCATTCATTTATCATTCGCCCATCTGCATTCAAAGTAAGTGCACACCCTTACATTTCCTCTCCAATTTCGTTCAACCCGCACTTCAGCTCACCGTCGATGTGAGGCTTTCCCTCACACTAGCTGTCTCAACATATGTGAGACTTCTAATCTTTCTTACAGCATATGCTGCAGAACTAAGTCTGCTTGCTAATTTGAAGTTTCGCGTCAATAGTAATACCGAGAAAAACAGTGGTATCCACAAGACTCAACTCCTCCCCATTTAAAAGCACATTGGTATTCGAATGTTTTACATTAGGTATTGTAAATTTAATACACTTTGTCTTATTGCCGTTTAAGAGCATATTGTTGGCGTTAAACCAATGTACTAATTTCGATAGAGCATTATTTACATCGTCATAATTAATTAACTGCCGTTTGAGTTTGAAAATTAAAGAGGTATCGTCAGCAAATAATACTATATCGTGATTGTCCCCTACAAGATAAGGTAAGTCATTAATATAGATTTAAAACAGAAATGGGCCAAGAATCGAGCCCTGAGGCACGCCCATTGATACTACCGATCCGGAGGAACCTTTAACACTGATCACGACTTTTTGAGTTTTGTTACTTAAATATGAAGTAATAAGTCTAAGCGCCAAATTTTTTACACTGTAATGTTGTAGTTTCCTGATTAATGTCTCATGATGAACACAATCGAAAGCCTTGGAAAGATCACAGAAAATACCTAAGGCATCTTGTGAATTCTCCCA